CCAGACACCGGGCGCTTGGCCACAGGGAAGGGCGTGGGCTTGGTCGCTGCCAGGGGGCGCCCCGAGGCGCGCCTGAACGCGTGGGGTCTGTGGTTATTGAGAGGGTTCACTGGGAGGCTTACGCGGGGCAAGAACCCGAGACCTTCAGTCACCAGCCCAGAGGGTGCAAATCTGGCCCTTGGTACCTGGACGAGCCAGACACAACGGGAGCGACCTGGACCCCAGAGGGAGCTTCGCTCCGCAGAGCCCCGATAATGGGAAATGGCACTGGGACTCCTGGAAGTGGACCAAAGAGCAAAGCTCAACATCTCTTTGTTGAGTCCTGTACATCAGAACAGAGACATTAACATTCGGCATTATTGTCCCAGCCATAATGAAATTAAATGATTGACTTGGATGTTTTAAAGAAAAAGAATATATATATATATAAAATCACTGTAAATACTGAGACTTTTCCCCATACTTTTTACTATGACTGCTTCAATGTGTTACCAAACTCAAGGGGTCTTGGGCCTGGGGTACTCTATTCGAGAACCAGATGTAGTTGTCCTTCGGTAGTTTATATGTTTGCAGCAAGTAATGGAAACAGGGCATTCATATCGAAAGCTGTCTCTTGGGAGGCTTAGCTACTGCTTACACGGTACTTGGTTAATTACATGTTGATTTCTTCTTTGCAGTTGGCTATGCTTATCGGGTTGGGTTCTTGGGTTCAGGTCAAGCTTATCCTGTTACAGTTGCTTTGTGCAACATTTTAACGTGTAGCAAGAATATCATTTAGGCCCGGCAGGCATGGTTCAGTGGTCCAGCGTTGACCCATGAACCAACATGTCAAGGGCAGGGCGTGGGATTGATCACTGCTCTCCCTACCTAGTTCCATCTCTGGTCAGGGCACATGCCCGGTTTCCAGGTTCCATCCCCAGTAGGAGGAGTGCAGGAGGCAGCCAATTGATGTTTCTCATGGATGTTTCTCTCCCTATCCCTCTCCCTTCTTCTCTCTAAAGATCAATAAAAATATATTCTTTAAAAAATAAAGGCTTAAAAATATTGCATTTAGGAAGAACTCCCCGGACTTGGAGACCCAGACCTATCTAATAAATGGGAACTCTTGGAAATCAGTATCTGATGATCTTCCCCTTCATTATTAATGCAAAGATGCTAAAAATAATTTATCATTATTAAGCAGGAAATTTTAAAAAAAGCAAAAAGAATCTCAATGATAAAGATACAAAGATGAAAGGTAACCCACAAGGTATTCAATCTTGAGCCAGATGTCTCAATGACAAAAACAGAGTAATTTTAATGCAGATGCATGCCTTGGAGCAACTTTGCTACAGCAAAGATCTAGTGCATGTCACCTTCTCCAACTGTGTTCTTCTAGACCAGCGGTTCTCAACCTGTGGGTCGCGACCCCCTGGGGGTCGAACGTCCCTTTCACAGAGGTCGCCTAAGACCATCAGAAAACACATATATAATTACATATTGTTTTTGTGATTAATCACTATGCTTTAATTATGTTCAATTTGTAACAATGAAAATACATCCTGCATATCAAATATTTACATTACGATTCATAACAGCAGCAAAATTACAGTTATGAAGTAGCAACGAAAATAATTTTATGGTTGGGGGTCACCACAACATGAGGAACTGTATTAAAGGGTCGTGGCATTAGGAAGGTTGAGAACCACTGTTCTAGATAAACATTTAAATTAATACCAGCATAAAATATGGTTGTGTATTTTGTGACTATAAATATCAGTCAGTTGTTCAGTGCTTACATATCCTAAAATATGACTGCTTTATTCCAAATAAGAATAATGAAGAATTGTATAAAGAGTTGAGCAAGTCTCTTTTGAGTTAATACAGTCACTAAAAGTTCCCCAGAGCCGAAAATCAAATCCCCGTAGAACATATCACTGGAGTCTTTTTCTTGATATATTATGGTCTTGCCAACTACATGAAAATATACTCTATAAAAATTTAAATTTTGGCCCTGGCCAGGTAGCTCAGTTGGTTAGAGCATCGTCCCAATACACCAAGGTTGTAGGTTTGACCTCTATTCAGGGCACATACAAGAAGCAACCTATGAATGCATAAATAAGTGGAACACACTCCCCCTTACCCCCCACTTCCTCTCTCACTCTGTCTCAAAATAATCAATAAATGTAAAAAGTTTAAAATTTCAAATGTACATAAATCAAGTGTGTATCTACTCTCCTTTAATTTTGCAGGGCAAGGTATCATCCCAAATGACACAACCTTAAAATATTGAGAGTTCTAGAGAACTTATGCTCATACTAGAGCTTTCTAGCTAATCTTTGTGTCTCATGGGCCTCAGAAATCAGAGCATCACTTTAGACAGGTACTGTTCCCCCTCACTTTTCAAACACATCGGTTCATTTTTACTACACGTGGGGCTATAATAAATGTGGCACATCGAACCAGGTCTCAATCTGCATTTCCACTTGTGAAATAACTGCCTTTCAGTTAAGACAGATTTCCAGGGGCCATATCATATACCAAAGGAAAACGCAGAACATTAGGGATTTTAAAAATATGCATCCATTGCCCCAGCTGGTGTGGCTCGGTGCTCTGGTTGGGTGTCAACCTGTGCACTGAAAGGCTGCCAGTTCATTTCCCCATAGGGAGCTCCGTGCAGGAGGCAGCCGATTGATGTTCTGCTCTCACATGGGTATTTCTCTCCCTCTTCCTTCATCTCTTTAAAAATCAACGAAAATATTTTTAAAATATGTATTTAACCATTTAATTGTTTTGGAGGTTTACAGAAAGTGGGAAATTATATAGTTAAACCAGTCATTCTCAATTATGGGTAATTTTGTCCTCTAAAAGATGTTTGGCAATGTGGAGACATTTTTTGGTTGTTACAATTGGTTGGCAGGTGCTACTACTGGCATCTAGTGGGTAAAGGCCAGAGATACTGCTAAACATTGCACAGCACTGCTGTAACAATTGACCACAGATGGGGTAGCTTATAAATAATAAATTTCTCACAGTTCTGGAGGCTGGAAGTCTGCGATGATGGTGCCAGCATGGTTAGGTTGAAGTGAGAGCCCTCTGGGGGTTGCAGACTGACTTCTCATTGTATCCTCACAGGGCAGAGAGGGCAAGAGAGCTTTCTGCAATGCCTATTACAAGGACACTAAGTGGAAAGAAATAGTGAAAAAGGTAATATTGGAAAGAAAGTACACATAATGGGGTTGTTGGTGCCTTGACAAGAATGGTTTGAGTAAGTAATAGGAATAAAGCATGACTGGAGTAATGCAAGAAGGAATAGTGTGTGTAAAGGGAGGGGGATGAAATGAGTGTAGATAACTGTTTTCAAGAAATTTTTGTCAAAGAAGGAGCAAAAATAAAATGGAAGGGGTCTGGGAGGGTTTTAAATGTGAGATTAAAAATGGGAAGTGTGTATGCAAGTGGGAACAAGCCAAAGGAGCAAAACTGACTCATGAGGATAAATGTAATAGTGGGAAAGGTAGAGATGGTTCATGTTATAATGTTTTCAACTATAGGCTGTGTCCCTTTGCTGGGTCATGAAATCAATTTGGTGGGTCAGTTTCTCAATTAGTATTTTAAATTCTTGCTACACATTAGAAATTTGCAAGAGAGAAAAATGTGTACACAAACACAAAAGCCTGTTTAAACATTTTATAGATGAATTTCAAACAGAAACTGTAACTTCACTTCTTACATTTTGAACTAGTTGAAAATAAAAGGGAGTAAAAAAAAAAAAAAGCATCTGGCACCTAAATTCAGAGGATTCCCTATATCTCACCAGGATAAAGTTTGATTTGAATAAACTGTTCTTAATTTTAGAATAACGAATACTGCTAAAATTCTTCAAAAAACTATTTGTAAGAAAGAGAGAATAGACTGGAATATTTATTGGAAAATCTATGTCAAGCTCCATAATTTAAAATTATTTAAAACAAATTAAAAACATCTATAAAAGGTCAGAACATTCAGTATTTTAAGCTAAAACTAACTTTAGAAAATTGTATCATGGTTATAAAAACAATTATAGCAAGCTACACATTTTTAATGACAGAAAACAGT